CTGCTTTAGGGCCAGTGTGATAACATCCTAAGACTGTTGACCACATTCCTTTGTAGTTAATCAGCAGGTGGAAAGGGAGTTGAGGCTGACTGGGACATCCAACATCACTCTCTTGAGAACAGATAGAGTGAAAGCAGGAGGGGAACCCAAGGGAAATGGGGGTAAGGAGAATGTTTTGGTTTTGTGATGAATAAGAATGTAAGCTGCTAAAAATGTGAAATTATGTATGCTTTAGGCTTTGTTAATGCTGAGTCTTGAGTCATGACAACACACATTTGTGGTGAACCTCTGTATATAGTTTCTGAATAAACTGGTTTTGCATCTGAAACCTTTGATTTCGAAATCCAATTATTCCTGTACATTACACTCTTCAACAAGGTAGTTCTTTAAGAACATAGCACAAAAAACTCCTTACTGGATCAGTCCCAAATCCCATCTAATCCAGCATCCTATTTTTCACAGTGGCCAACCCACATGGGCTGAACAACCTCTGAAAATCCTCAGAGCAGAAAATGAGGACAATAATACTCTTCCAAAGTTGTTCCTCAGTGATTCCTATTAAGAACCATGTTGCCCCTTGATATTAGTGTTTGCTTATATCTATTGACAGGATTATCCTCCAGCAAGGTCCTCGAATCATAGAATCATAGAATTCGAAGGGGCCACAAGGGCCATCTAGTCCAGCTCTCTGTCATGCAGGAATACACAACAAAAGCATTCTTGAAAGATGCTCATCTAGTCTCTGTTTAAAGTCCTCCCAAGGAGACTCACCCCCACTCCCACCCCAAGGCTGTCTATTCCCTGTCAAGCAATTCTTACAGTAACATGCTTCTTACTGTTTAGGTGGAATCTCTTTTCTTGGCATTTGAATCCATTGGTTTGTAGCCTTATATCTGGAACAGTAGAGAGCAAGTTCACTACATCTTCTACGTGATATCCCTTCAAATATTTAAAAATGGCTATCATGACACCTCTTTTTTCTTTCTAACATTTCTCCAAACATACCCAACTCCGCACAACTGTGTCCACATGGGCTGAACAACACATCCTCCCTTACCCAAGTCCAGATGATGCAGGGCCCAGTTCCCAGTTCTGGTGAAAACTGTCTTATCTAATCTAAGGTAAGCCTCATATTGTCCAAGGTACTAACTGCTACCTTCCCCTGGTGGTTTTACTCCAGATTTAGGCCTTTGGTACATGTGCTAATGTCACTGCCTTGGTCCTTCACCAGATAGTAGCTCTTTCCTGATCCTTCAGAAGTATCTATCTTGCTCTTGCCTGGCTGAATCTGTAAAGCTGGAAGGAATGCCTTTATAAGTCACTCCTCACTTAGCCTGACTACCTAAAGCTAGCACAGGGAGAGTCCTGCTTTTTCAGAGCACCTCAAATCTTGCTTGTCCCTCTCTCCCTCCAAGGAAGCCGAGCAAGATGCTTCTTTCAGTAGCCTCTCACCACTTCGGCACCTTCCCAACTCCTGACCTGACCAGCATTGACCACAGTTTCCTCCAGCTGACTGGCTTCCTCTGTCCTTCGCCTCAGTGTGAGGGGCCTTGCCGCTTTCCCTCCTTTTGGCTCACTTAAATTGCATAAGAAAGAGTCTGGGACCTGCTTGTCATATGTTTCAGGTGGGAACTACATCCTCTTCCCCTGCCACCACCACTGCCATCGTCCTCCCACCCACTTCCCCTGCCTCATTTGCCTCCCCAATTTGAAACTGGCCAATGATCTATTACTCCTCACCACCCTCTCAACTACAGAAGTTCCATCTCTTGGACTGTGTTCAGACAGAGAAGTGACCGGCCTCTCCTAGTTTCCTCTTCCCCAGACATCACTCCTTACTTCATTCTGCAGTCAGTCTCTTTTTTCCTGGCTGCCCAGATTAGTGCCCAGCTGTGGCAGCTCCCCTGTGACCACCCTGTTGCAGCTACACTCCCCTAAACTAAAAATCCCATAGGATGCAGCCTTCCTCATAAGAGAGTTGCTTTAGTTCCCCTTATCTTCTTGGTTGTCCTTTTCTGTATATTTTCTAGTTCTACCACATCCTTTTCCAAGGAGATGAAGAAGGGAATGGAAACAATTAGAACATGCTCTTCAATGCTGACAGTTGCCAAAAAAAGGATGAATTTTTCTGCACTAATTCAAAGAAACATGATATGGACTCAGTAGCATTGGCTTAGACCTTCTTCCTTCTTCTCTATATTATGAAAAAGGAGAGTGGAAGCACAGTGAAAACAACACAAGCAAAATATCTCCCCACAGTTGCAAATTGACACATTTAAAAAAAAATCTAAAGGGTATAATCCAAAGTGAGTATAAAAACACATTTCAGTAGGCATCCTTAAGTGCAAAAGCATAAGCCTGACTAACAGATAAAAATGAATATTATCATGAAAGCAATAATTTCTCCTTTCAACCAGCCTTACCATCCTAGCTATTGTCTATTTAATCTTTTCTTTTTCTTTTGCAGTCAAAAGCAAATGTTCCCAAAACAATAAATTGTCCTCAGGGAATCAGGTTTTAAGATCTGTGTTTTTCTCCTCCCAAGCACAATTTAGAAACCTCAACATTATCACCTGATAAGTACTTTCCATTTGGCAATGTATTTATGGGTGATGTATCTATAAGTAATGGTTGAAATCTTGTCAGGCTTAAGAACAACTCATTAGCCTGTTCATGAAAAGCGCAGGTGACACGTTATGTTAGCTTATGTTATGAGCTAACATAACATTGCAGTTCTACAGACATACTTGTTCAACAGACAATGGCTTCAGTAATTCAAAGACAACTATTGGTTGGGTTCCAATCCATGTATATCATAAAAACTGGAAAATCTGTGGCCACCCAGATGTTGGACGACCATTTTCATTATCCCCAGTCATTGGAGATGGTAGCTGGGATTGATGGGAGTTGGCATCCAGTACCAGGTTTCCCCTTCATGGCCTATCAGTTGGTTACAACAGAATCATAGAATCATAGAGCTGGAAGAGAACATGAAGTAGATAGGTCAGAACCAAAATCAATAGCCCCACTTCATCCAATTCTGAGTCAGGACTTATATTCATGCTCTTGTTCTCATCTTTATGGTGGTACAATTAAAGCTGCATATTTGATGCTAAGTATACATCTTCTTTTTATGTACTTAGTACATTGTTTCTTCTACCAGGTGGAAGATATGTCCTTGTGGTAGTGTTGACAGCCAGTGTGGCATAGTGGTTAGAGTTTGGGACTACAACTCTGGAGACCAGAGTTCAATTCCCCCTTTGGCCATGAAATACACTGGGTGACCTTGGGCAAGTCATATGCTCTCAGCCTCAGGGGAAGGCAATGACAAACCTCCTCTGAACAAATCTTGCCAAGAAAACCCCATGATAGGGTTGCCATAAGTCATAAACAACTTGAAAGGACACAACAACAACAAAGAGAACTACTTACTAGCTATATTTACTGTGTTTCTGAATTGTCTGGTGGAGATTCTTTCTGATGAAGTTAACCATGTCTCCTCATCTCTTCTGAGCACTTTTCTCCCTAAACAAAGATGTAAGTGATGCCACCATGCATATCTTTCTCTTGCACATTTCCATACTTCTGTTGGTCCAGATTAAGCTCTTCTTTCTTGGCTTGCTTTGCTCCATCTGGATTATGTCATTTGGTTTGAGAGGATGGCCATGTTTGTCTTTCCAAAGATAGTCTCAAGTTGAGTTATATTGGCAATTCCAAGCTGCCAATTTTGACATTTAAAAATTGAGGCCTAGTCTATACATGCAGCAGAAATAGGTGATACAATTTTCTAGAGTAGGTTTTAAATACTGGGATAGAAGTGGGATAGAAGTATAACTGTAATTGCTGGATCGTAACACACAACCTATGGCTAGGCAGTAAGTATCCTGTAGTTAACCCATTGCATTTAATAAATGGGAAAATCTTGTGAAATAGTTGTCATTTGCATAGTTAACCCCTTATTGAAGTATGTGCCATAGGTCATTCCAAGGTAAT